TTCAGGGTTTAGGGTCTAGGATTCAGGGTTTAGGGTTTAGGGGTTCAGGGGTTTAGGGTTTAGGGTCTCTAAGGAAGCTAAGCCACAACGACGATCATCCAAAAAACTCCAAACCCTAAAGCTCCCAAACCTGAAACCCCCCAAACGTTTTCTTGAACTCCGAAGTCAGAAAACTTACAGCCAATGAATCCTAAACCCTAAACCCTGAAACCCTAAACCCTGAAACGCTAAACCCTAAAATCCTGAACCCTGAAACCCTGAAACCCCAAAGCCAAAGCCCTGCGCCTTAAATCCCTGAAACCCCAAATCCCAAGCCCTAAGCCCTGAACCCCTGAAACCCCAAACCCCAAGCCCTAAACCCTGAAACCCTGAAGCCCGAAACCCTAAACCCCGAAGCCCTGAAACCCCAAACCCTAAACCCTAAAACCCTGAACCCTGAAACCCTAAACCCCGACACCCTGAAACCCCAAACCCTAAACCCTAAAACCCTGAAGCCCTGAAACCCTAAACCCTACACCCTAAAACCCTGAAGCCCCAAACCCTGAACCCTAAGCCCCAAGCCCAAAGCTCTAAAACCCTAAACCCGAAAACCCTGAAACCCCAAACCACAAACCCTAAACCCTAAACCAAGAAACCCCAAACCCCAAACCCTAAACCCTTAGCCCTAAGCACTGAAACCCCAAACCCCAAACCCTACGCACTGAAACCCCAAACCCTAAACCCTCAGCCCTAAGCCCTGAAACCCAAACCCTAAGAACCCTAAACCCTAAGCCAGGGGAAGGAGAGCTTGGTATCCCGCGCCCTGGGAGACTTGGCTTTCCTCCTGGATCGCCGAGAGCACCGACCCCAGAGGGGTTTGGGGTTTAGAGATTTGGTGTTTAGGGTTTAGAGATTTGGGGTTTGGGATCTAAAGATGTCGGGTTTAGGGTTTAGAGATTCGGGGTTGAGGATATAGAGATTTTGGGTTTAGGGTTTAGGGTTCCGGGTTTAGGGTTTCGGGTTTCGGGTTTCGGGCTTAGGGTTTAGGGTTGAGGGTTTAGGGTTTAAGGCTAAGGGGCTGATGAAAGGTGATGATTTGGGTACTGTGCCCATACAGTAACAGTCTATAATACGGCTATTACTAAGGGCCTTATATATATATATATACATACATATATATATATATATATATATATGTATTCAGCCAGTACCCGAGTGATGACGTTGTTTCGCCGAGTGCGAGTGTCGTGAGACTTTGCGTGGAGAGTATTGCTGCTCCGACGGCTGCGACGACAACCAAAACGACTAATTTTATTGTATTCTGGTTTTGAAATTTTCTTAGTCTGAATATCATTGCTACTGCGATTGTCATTGTTATTGTTGTTATTACTGTTTAATATTTTACTTGCGGCTACTATCACTATTTTGCTAATTGCTATCATCATGATTATTGTTAGTATTTTTATTCTTATTGTTTATTATTCTTCTTCTTCACAGTATTGCTGTTGCCAGTATCATCATCATTCTAATTTCTTAATGCTGTAATGGCTACTACTTGTATTTTCTCATTATTGTCATTACTACTACTGTTGGTTCTTACTGCTACCGTTAGTATTTTGATAGTTACTGTTTTTTAAGCACGACCATATTTGCTTCGTACCAGTCCTGCTTGGTACAAGTCCTGATCTTATTCTTACTTACGCTGCGATGTTTATTTCTTTTCTTGGCGTTGCTGCGCTTATTTCTGTTACCGGCATGACACGAAGCATCCCAGCCCCTAAAGCCTAAACCTCCCAGGTTCGTGCCCTTCTTCACGAGGAAGGTTTGGCTAGGCAACGGCGGTGCTCCAAGAACGGGACGCGGAACCGGCAAGAGGTCGCTTGGTGTCATTTCTGGCTTTAGGGTTCAGGGTGTAGGGTCTAGGGTTTAGGGTTTAGGGATACTGAAGGGGATACAGATAGAGATGAGCAGAGTTTGTTGACGCCTTGCCTACTTCGAGAGGGCTTTAGCATCTGCAAAATGCTGTCAGTACGGAATCTACCTAAACTATCATAGGATCCCTATTATGATGTTCTTTGGTTAGGGTTTTAAACTGAGAACCTGCAAAGAAGGTAGGTTTTGGTAGTTTAATGTGAACCTTCAACCCTGAGCCCTTAACCCCAAAACAACCCTAAACCCTAAACCCTAAACCCTTAAAACAAACCCTAAACCCTGAGGAGTGGTTTCAGCAAGCGCTACTGGATCCGATACAAGGAAACCTTCTATCCGAACACCAAGCCGCCGCCTCAGCCCTGCCCATGGCAGAACCGGATTTTTGCTGGGGTCCCTTTTTGGGGAGCTTCGGGTTTAGGGTTTAGGGTGTAGGGTTTGAGAGTTTTTCGATCTGCGGATGCCTCTGTCTCCAAGGAAAATGGGGACGCCTCACTGCGACAAGAACGACTGAGGGCAGAGCCGAAGGTTTAGGGTTTAGGGTTTAGGGTTTTAGGGTTTAGGGTTTAGGGTTAAGGGTTTTAGGGTTTAGGGTAGGTTGTGCTGGCTCTTGAGCCACCCACCCAGAGAACCCAGTACCCCTTAATTCAGGAATTAATTAAGGGTTCTTTAGAGGGATCTATAAGGGATCCATAAGGGAATGAAGGAATATACCTTAAATCATAGTAGTAAGGCCCCTATAATCTAAGGTATCTTCCGTAATTAAGGTGTATTGGGTTCTCTGGGAACTTGTTTCCTGCAGTCTCACCCCTGAAATGAAAAGAAGGCTTTGACGACGTGTAGCATGGAGCCTCTGGCATGAAGACTCCCGGAAGGTAGCAATGTTGCGAGATGCGGTGCAACCTCTGTCTGATAGTTCACTGCTCCTGCCGTGTTGAGTTGAGGACTGCTTTCCGACTCGTTGTGGCAACATGCATGCGTGAAGAAGTTGCGCAAAGCTTGCATGTACCTAGAGGTGACCTTCCGCGGCTGTCACTCTCAGAACGGCAGTGTTGGCAGCACGCAGCGGCAACTTCTCCGACCTTTCTCGAAAAGCCATGGCCAAGCGTACCAAGAAGGTCGGCATCACGGGCAAGTACGGCACACGCTATGGTGCCTCCCTCCGTAAGATCGTGAAGCGCTATGAGATCCAGCAGCGGGCCCGGTACATGTGCACTTTCTGTGGCAAGGAGAACGTGAAGCGTGAGGCAGGTGGCATCTGGAAGTGCAACTCCAAGACCTGCAACAAAGTCATGGCCGGTGGCTGCTGGACCCTGACCACGGGCCCGGCTGCCACGGTGCGCGCCACCATCGCACGCCTCAAGAAGCAGCAGGCCGGCGGCGTCGACGAATGAACGTCAGGCCGATGAGTGACATGAGTGAACTGAGAGAAGCAATGCCGACGCTGCAAACCGCATGCAAAAAAAGAGCGGCATGCAGGGGCTCACACGCAATCACACACTCAAGGTTTTCTGTGGCCCCTAGACTCTTAATCATGCCTTCGCAGTTTTCCCTAAACCCTAAACCCTAAACCCTAAACCCTAAACCCTAAACCCTAAACCCTAAACCCTAAACCCTAAACCCTAAACCCTAAACCCTAAACCCTTCATTGTAAGGGCGATGTCTGCTCAGCTCTCTGAGAGGCTCCCCTGGAGCTGCGGCAAGTCAAAGAGGCGCGCGAGCGTAATGTAGAAGCCTAAATGGGTTTAGGGTTTAGGGTTTAGGGTTTAGGGTTTGAGCGTAATATGGGGGTTTCCGAAAATATGGGGTACCTTATTTTGGGGGTCCTTATAATGAGGATACTACTATTTAGGGTGCTATATTAGGGTCCCCTATTTTTGGAAACCCCCATATAGAAGCCTAAATAATTCCCTGTATTGTTCCTTAGGGTTCAGGGTTTAGGGGTTTAGGGGTTTATTCCCTGTATTGTTCCTTAGGGTTCAGGGTTTAGGGGTTTAGGGGTTGAGGGTTTAGGGTTTTTTAGCTTACTATAAACGGGCCCAAAGCCCAATTCCAATGTCCGGTGCGGTGGTTCTCACTCCAAGTAACAAGAACCACCGCCCAGGAAGCGTCGATACACCTGAACTCAGGCAAATCGTAAGCCTTCGCCACAATGCAGCCCAAGCTATTTTGACCGTGAGGCTTAAATCCTAAACCCAAACCCGAAACCCCAATCCTGAAGCTTTAAACTAAAAACCCTAAACCCCAAAACCCCACACCCTGAACCTAAAGCTAGGATTAGTCCTACCTAGAACCCTAAACCCTGAACCCTAAACCCTAAACCCTAAACCCCTAATAATGCTACCTAAAACCCTAAACCCTAAACCCTAAACCCTAAATTCCAAAACCCAACACCCTGAACCTAAAGCTACCTCAACCCAGAGGGTCCAATGTACCTATATAGTAGAATGTAGGGTTTCTATAGTAGGAATTGCTATTATGATTTAGGGAAGTATCCCCCAATAACAGTACATAGGACCCCTTGGGCAAGGAATACTACCTAGAACCCTAAACCCTAAACCCTAAACCCCAAAACCCAACACCCTGAACCTAAAGCTACCTCGAGGAAGTGGTGGACCTTCAACGGGCCCTTGAGGGAATGAAGGGAAATCTCGAGGCCCAGCAGTGCTCTTCCTCGGTTTAGGGTTTAGGGTTTAGGGTTTAGGGGGTTAGGGGCTTGGGGGTTTAGGGGGTTTAGGGGGTTTAGGGTTTAGGGTTTTTTTGAGTTTAGGGTGGGGTTTAGGGGGTTTAGGGTTTAGGGGTTTTTGACAAAAGGGTTTAGGGGTTTAGGGTTTAGGGGTTCAGGGTTTAGGGTTTAATGCAGGGGCCTTGATGATTAGAATAGGGTTCGGGGGCATATTATACATGAATTATCATAAGGAGTCCCCAAAACCCTATTCTAATTATCAAGGCCCCTACATTAACCATGAACTCTTAGCAAGGTTCTCAGAAGCGTTCCGATAAGGGCTGCTTTGCGCGTTCCTAGACGGGTTCGGCCTGAAACCCGAAGCCCGAAACTAAACCCTTTAAAACGCTACAGCCCTAGACCCTATAGCCCTAAGCCTTAATAAGCCGTGAACCCTAATGTTTAGGGTTTAGGGTTTAGGGTTTGGGCCCTAAACCCTAATGCGCCCTAAACCTTGATAAATCCTAAACCTTATAAAGCCTTATAGCTCCAATATACCCTACTACTAATCCCTAAGCCCTACTGTAAAGCTTTAGAGCATTCAACCTTGACCCAACACCCCCAAACCCGTAACCGTAATCAATCCTAAACCTAAAGCCTTAAACCCTAAACCCCTGAAGCCCTAATGAGCTCTAAACCTAAGCCCTCTTACCTGAAGCCCTCTTAAAGTCCAGAACCCTTTAATTAAGGAATACACCTTACATCATTTTAAGGATCTGTCTGCAATTTGCGGTGTGTTTCTTAATTATAAGGATTTTGGAAGATCTGGGTAAGAACCCTTAAAGGAACAGTGGTAGGAACCCTTGCCGAGCTGTTTGAAAGGAACCCTTACAAGGCCCCTTTAAAAGGAGCCCTGACACAGCCCTTTGAAAGCAGCTTAGGGTTTAGGGTTTAGGGTTTAGGGTTTAGGGTTTAGGGGTTTAGGGAAAGAGCCCTTTGAAAGGACCCCCCACTTGAGGGATCATGGCACTTAGGTAAGTAAGGTTATATGTACCTCAACTGGGGTTATTATTCGAGTTAGCTTGCTTGACTAATTATTAAGGCCCCATGAACCTTTTCGAAGTCCGTGTCGACTCCAGGCAGCCATTGAGGCGGCATCCTAAACCCCGAACCCCCAAACCTAAACCCGAAACCTAAACCCCAAACCCCAAACCCCAAACCCTAAACCCTAAACCCTAAACCCTAAACCCCAAACCCCAAACCCTAAATACCCCAAACCCTAGACCCTAAACCCTAAACCTTAAATCCAGGCAGCCATTGAGGCGGTATCCTGTCAATTGAGCTCTGTCACCGCTTGGGTGCAGCAGGACGGGAAGCCTCGAAGGTTTGGGGTTAGGGTTTAGGGTTTAGGGGTTTACTATCGGGGCCTAAATAATTACCAATACTATTGCAATTATAGTTTAATTTACCCCCCAAAACCGTATTCTAATCATTGATGCTTCTGCATTAGGGGTTTATGTGTTGGGGGTTTAGGATTTACGGCTTGGGGTTTTAGGAGTTTAGGGTTTCAGAGTTCAGGGCTTTGAGCGTTCAGGGTTTAGGGTTTAGGGTTCTAGACCACCTGGCTGAATACTGTCCCTCGTACTTTGGGTGTTGGGCTTACAGGGCATACCTATTGTTTGGGGCGATCAGGGTTTGGAGTTTAGGTACGGATGAGTCAGAGCAGGATCTGGTGCAGGGATCCTAGTCCAGGGGGGTTTTGTGGGATTTGGAGGTTCTTTAGGGTCAGGAGAGGTTGGATTCCTTGGTAATATATAATCCAGAGAGCCCGAAACACCCTTAAGAAAAGGAGGGCAGTGAATTTGGGTAGGTCTCTAAATTAGAGTGCCTTTCTGGACGGCACCCTCATGAAAACCCTAAACCCTAAACCCTAAACCCTAAACCCTAAACCCTAAACCCTAAACCCTAAACCCTAAAAGGGACCCGATTTTAGAAGACTACCCGTTTCTTAGTTAGGAAGTCTTGGGCCCTTTGGGTTGAACGAATAGGGTCTAGTGTTTCGGATCCAGGTCTTCGGCTCTTCGGATTTTAGGGTTTGGGGTTTTGGGTTGAGGGTTGAGGGGTTTACGGTTTAGGGTTTAGGGTTTAGGGGTTTAGGGGTTTAGGGTTGAGGGTTTTGGGTAGAGGGTTGAGGCTGTGGCTGTGATGAGGAAGGAAGGCCTAGGGTTTAGGGTTTGGGGTTT